AAAAAAGTAAAAGAGAAAGGGAACAGAAAAATGTATGGTTTATGGTGTATGGTGAAGAGAAGTTTAAAAATAGGTTTAGAGCGCTTTCAACTTCTTAGTGAAATGTAGAGAAGAGTGAGGGATACTCGGTAGAGAAATAAGACGCATCCCAAAGGAGTTATTGGTGTTATTTCATACTACTAGTGTGAAAATCAGTTAGGGTTGCAGTTGTTTCAATTGCATTTTATGCTTCTGGTCTTGATGTGATTCACCACTTGGAGATGTGGTTAATTATAGCTTACTCTGTTCCAGGCGGTGTGGTTACAGCAAAGCAAAACAAGACCCAGAGGAGGAAAAGATGCATTTTCATAATGGGCACAGTAAGCACATCGTAAAACCTCAAATGATAACAAAGTAGGGGAGACTTTTTAGTTATTTTGATTTATTTTCAGGTGAGATTTGTAATAACTGACCAAAAATATTGTGTTAAAAAATGTTAAGTGTTTTGTTACATTCCTGTAAGATGTGTAGGCTTAGGGCATTGCCAGCTGACTCTAGGCAACAGTAAGATGGTTTATTCAATTCTTTAAAGCATACTTTCATTATAACCATTAAAATAAAAGCCTATGCTTAATATAAAATATTATATTTCAAACCAAATTTCCAGGCCAATTCTAATTCCTAACAACACATTCAATAGAAATTTCTTTAAATAACACCACTAGATTACAGGAATGAAATTTCTGTTGGTTTTTTTTTTTCTTTTTCTAGCATTATAGCAGGAATTTCCATGAGCAGATCCTGTAGCAGCAACCGTGGTCAAAATGATTTGAAAATGGCTACACTTTTAAGAAATGCAGAATATCATGTTTTAATATGAGCTTTAAAAATTAGCCTAAATGAGTGCTAATTAATGGTATTTTAATATGTTCATTTTGTCATTAATAGTACAGTGTGAGTTGTTTTGTCAGGCAAATGACAAAAAGAGTTTCTTTTATTTCTGTCACTCTGCCATGTCTATAAAAATAAAAAATCATTAAAGCTATAATTCATGCTATAAAGAGTAAAGTATTTTTTTTTATAGTCTTATCCTGTTTAATGTTATTTATCCTCAAAAAGCACTGTGAGGGTGATATTGGTAGCTTTTATATGTGATGAAACTGAGGCTAACAGAATGTTGAGTCTTGTATAAGCCCTTGCAGTAATACAAATAGAATGGGAAGTAGAACTTCTCTTTTTCTTTTGACTTCTATGTCAGTCTATTGGACAAAAAGCAAAGAAAAGTTATTTTAAATGATTTTTTATAAAACAAAAATTAAATCTCTCTGATGATAATTTAGGTGAGACATAGACTAACAAACAACAAATAAACCACGAGCATTTCATCAGCCAGTTTAGTAAACAAAACTGTCCTAGTTTGCCTCAAAGACTGACTCTCTGAACATTAGTGTTGAAAGATGTATTCACTTAGAATTATTGGCACATATACATTACTTGTAAAACCAACCATAAAATTTTCTAAAATTATAAAAGTGAGATAGCTGAATAAATGACTCCAATGACTCAGGAGAGAGTCTGTCCTTGAAGCTTGGCCACTTGTAGGAATTAGGGATTTAAGCGACAGTTGCATGTTAATAACATTTATAATTTCACTCATCTATCACAAGCACTTCTATGTTAATGCCAATTTATTTTTACAGTTAAACTTCCAGGAGTAAGAACTTATATTGATCCACATACCTATGAGGATCCCAACCAAGCTGTCCATGAATTTGCCAAGGAGATAGAAGCTTCATGCATCACCATTGAAAGAGTTATTGGAGCAGGTACCACAGTGTATTTAATTCAGACCTTTAACTTGTGTTTAATACAGAATGTAATATGGCAAAGCCCTGATCTAACACAGAATGTTTTTAATTTTTTATAACTGACTCGCTTTCAAAGTGGTGTATAATTGATCATATTTTAATACTACCTTCTGTGTAGCTCATATTTTGACCAGCAAATGTCTAGTTTATATAATAAAAAATAAAACAGCAAATATATATATGTAATATATATATATATTCAAACAAGTGTTTACCACCTACTGTTTATTGTAATATATACATATGTAATTTGTAATGCCCAAACATATTTACATAATTCAAGCACCCAATTCTTCTGTTTATGAATCAATTCTTCCTTACAATTGTTTTCTTTTTGTCTTGCTATAACACTTTCTCATTAATGGCTCTACTGGAATAGAAAGAGAAGGATGAAGGAAATAATTTAAGTCAGTGGCTTCTAATTTCTTTGTAACATTTCCATTAAAGTTTTTGTAGGTGCGATGGATGAAGACAATAACCTCCAAAGTGTTTTACAATCACCTATGGATTATTTTTCCCAGAGCACCATTCATTTTTATTTACACTGATAATAAAGTTTAGACTCCCCTTTTAACTTTATTTGATCTAAATCTTAATATTCTAAAAGTGCTTTAGAGTTTTATTAGGGTAAGGGTTTCAAATGTTTGTACATATTTTTTTCCATCTTTGTCACAAGGTGAATTTGGTGAAGTTTGTAGTGGACGTTTGAAACTTCCAGGAAAAAGGGAATTACCTGTGGCGATCAAAACCCTTAAAGTAGGCTATACTGAAAAGCAACGTAGAGATTTCCTGGGTGAAGCAAGTATCATGGGGCAGTTCGATCATCCTAACATCATTCATTTAGAAGGTGTTGTGACCAAAAGTAAGTACAATGGCAAATTACACATGTGTGTGTATATTTATATCATGAATATCTGGATTTCTTCTATTGGGTTATTATTAATTTCAAGGTACAGCCATAGTAATGTTTTTAACAGTTTCTCTAATATTAATAATAATTGTTCTGTATTTTAGTAGATTCTTGTCAAAGCTAATCTTCAATGAACCTGAATTTCTATTTATTTTTTCAAAACGTATTAACTCATTTACTATGAATTCAGTGCCAGAGAAAATGTATCCAGATAAAAGAAGCAGTAAAGGTATCATTTTTTCTCCTCGCTTTCACCTTTTATTCTAATGAAATATTAACTTCAAAGTTTTGATTGAGGCATTGAAGTTTAACATTTAATAGGATTACTATAAGCATAGGTGCCCTGCCTTTTTCAGAACCTTTTAAGTAGTTCTTTACAGCCAGATCTATTTCCTTTATTCATTTTTTTCATTGAGATATTTTAATAGATCTAGGAAAGCAACAGTCTCAGAAGACTGCAAAAGTTCCTTGAGACTAATTATTTGTTCAAGCGAATCTAGTTTTTACTAAGAAATATCTAGAATTTCACATCTCTTTTAAAGTTTTATTAGTGTCTTGTAAATGTAGTTATGTGGTGAGTTTCTCAATAGAAGGATTTCAAATAATTTTTCAGCCATCCAATAAAGTATTTATGTGGCACATAACTGAGGCCTTTATTTTCTTTTAATTCATATTTTCTTTACCATTGCTATGTAGTTTTATTCCTTCCTTTATCCTTCATATTCTGCATACCACTTACTAAATCATCTAAAAACTTTGGCAAGGACCATTCTTTAGACTTTCTTTCAAGCATTTGTTCAACTTCCAGTTCCTATTAACCGAGTTTTAAATTATATATGCCAATAAGCATACTAGTAATTCATATTCAATAAGTATCCTCGATAGACTAAGAAATTTTAATTTATTAGATATCCATTTACTCCATTATCTTTCAAATATGGAAAATAAAACAATAACAACACATTTTCTTAATAAATAAAGATAAAGATAAATAAAAAATGCTTACTTAGAATATAGCAAGTTAATTTTCAACTTATGATTCATTCACAGTAGGTCATGATGAGAATGCAGAAGCCTCTCACGAGTTCAAGAAAAAGACCACAGCAAAAAGTCTCATATTTATGACTGGTTGAACTTTTGAATGAATGTGTATTGTTACGAGATTGTCTTTCTCCATGTCTCAAGGAGATGCACATCTCAGTAAAATGCCCATAGATGAATGCAGCATAGGAGTAAAATAACCTTCAAGACATGTGAGTTTCTCCAAAGCTTAGAGGTGTTTCTTCCTCCAGTTAAGCACTCGCCCATACGTTAATACCCGCTTGTCAGCAACCCAAAGAGGATATTGATGTAGCAAGAAGGACATCCTGAGGTCTCAAAAGAACAAATAAGTTGCTAAAGAAAGGTAAGAGGCAAGGACTAGAGAGAAGCAGGTGGGAGCAAGGAAAAACTATATATTTTGGAAAAAATGAATTAAAAATATTTTATAAAAATTAAATAGTAGAAGGAATATTTGAAATAAAAATATGATGTAGAGAAGATGGTCACCGGTGTAATAAAATGAAACAATTTGAATTTGACTATATTCTATCTGATAGATTATATTCTGTCAAGGGAATGACCTTGAAAAGACATCAGTGATAGGATATGGTGCTAGATACTATAGAAATAAGAATCATAGTAACAATGATTGAGTAATATTGTTTCCTAAGCAGTCATGGTCTTAGCTAATATCAAACATAGTTCTTAATGATAGTCATAGTAATAATAACACAGTAATAATAACATCTGGTAAATTTCATGTCATTATTTTGTCTTTAATATGATTGCTAAATTTAAGTTCCTCAAAATAAATTCTGACTGTGACTTCCTACTACCCAGGGAAAATGTAAAGCTCCAGAAATAGCCAATCTACTCTCTGTAATGTTAACGTAATGTTTAGAATGGTGCCAGATCACTATTACTATTATGGAAGATGGTATTGTTTAATGGTCAAGAACATGGACTGTGACTCTAGCCACCCAATATTAATTTTGCTTCTACCATAAACTGCTATGTGACTTTGCACAAGTTAGTTAAACTTTCAGAACCTTACTTTCTTCACCAATGACATGGAGTAAGAATTCTTTATAGTGATGTTGCAAAGATGGCATGAATACAGGGTAAATTTTAGAATAGACATGGCACAGAGTAGGTACTTAGTAAGTATATAGTTACTTTTCCATTTATTTCTTTTCCTATACTCTGAACTCCTTCCTATCCGTTTCATTCTCAGTCTATTTTAATATACCTGATGTTTCCCTACCTACATTGCCTTTCTCTAAAACTGACACCCTCATATTCATTAGTTTTTAAATTCCTTCAAAATCATACTCAGATTTTGTCACCTCCATGAAATAGTTCTCATCATTTCAGCGTGAAGTAATGTTTCCTTCTTTTGAACACTTTGCCTATGTCTGTATTTTTGCATCAATCTATAACATTGCTTCATTTGTCTCAAACTCTTGTTCAAATTTTCCACTTAATTTCATCTCTTTCATATATATTTTTTAAATTCCTCTCTAAAAAAGAAGTCTGCTCTCTGAAAACACAGACCATATTTCATATATTTATGTAAACCTCTTGCACCTAAATCTAACTCAATCCATAATCACTGAAGCACTTTGAACCTCAATGTCACACAAAAAGGAAGAAATAGTACCTACTTTATAAGATTGTTATGCAGATTAAATTAAGGAGTATGTGTATATGTGTGTGAATAATTATAGTAGTGAATAAGTATTTATTTCCATCTGTTTAAGTGAATGTATCAGTTACTAGTGGATGACATCCAAAATTTGTTATAACTAATATTCATCTTTTGTAGACCACTGATTTGTTACAGAACTTGTTTTATGAGAATGGGACATGACTGGGCTAAATTAAGAGAACTACATTTCTCAGAGTAAAACAACTAAATTTGTCACATAATTTATATTCACATGAAAGCTTTACTTATAGAAAAAATTATCAATTTCAACAAATGATACCTAAATTCTGTGAATTCTAGTCTAAAAAATGGTACTGTGGTTGGGAATACAGTTTTTAAATATCGAATCTCCTACTCAAATAGTCTGTTTGATGTTGATGCTATGAGGCTACACATATAAGTAAAGGAAAATTTAAATATTTTAAATATTTCTGTCTTTATTTTTTGTTCTATTTGAATTGAAATTGTACTTCCCCTTAATAAGTGTAGCTCTTGATGTTCAACTTAGGAAGTCTTCAACTTATTTTTAATTTACCATGTTGCAACTCATTTTATTTGTGTCCTTAATTTCATGCTTTCTGATCTGATGCTAATTTATACAGCAATTATTCTCAACCTGCAGCACACAGATAATGAGACATAAGTGCAACTAAATCTTGCGATATTTCTGATTGAAGTTGAGGTAGGGAGTTTGAAGTAGCACTCCCATGGATGGTGCCATCATGAACCTTTATTTTTCCTGTATCACTGCCCTACGTACCAGAAACATGAGCCCTCATTCAAATTCCTTCTGTGTTTTGTTGTTAAACAGGACACATCATAAATAGATATATATTCTAGAGATGCTTCATGGCAAATGATCTAAAAAACCCACAGGTTCTGGCTTAATTGACTCATTGGCAATGCAAGATGCTTTAATGTAATATACACAGTGCCAGTGCTTACTATGTAAAGAGATTCAGGAATAAAATTAAAAGGAGAAAAAAATTATATTTCCATTGCAGCATCCTTAGTTCTTGAAGATTTTTTTTCTCACCCTTGAAAATTATTATAATTGACAAAGAGGATATTTCTATTGAGTTTTATAATTATTCATAGTTATATTTCTTAATCTGGGACCATGAAAAATAAATCTAGTTCTGTATAATTAACAAATTTAAACAAAATATTAGAGGAACATTAGAGGAATATCTTCTTTCCTTTTTTTTTTATGTCTGAGGAGATGGCACATTCAATGACAACTGATTATTTGATTATTTAAGTTGTCAAAAAATTCTAACTTACATAAATTTGTAATTATCTGTCAAACATAGTATTTCATTCTAATGAAGACACTTCCATTTTACAAGTCCTTGTTATGTATCTCCCAGGTCTATTTCCAAATCTTCAAAATGGTCTTCTCATTTTGGTCTTTTTCCACATTAGTTCATTCTATGCCTATGGTCCTTAGGTAGATTTTAATAAATCACTGTTTTTCTCTCATGCTTCATCACCAAACAAGCTAACAAATTTAGCAAAGTACATTTACTTTGATAGTTAGTCTGATATGATTTGGCTATATCTCCATATTTCTCTATTTTCTTTCCAGATAACTCTATCTAGTCCTTGTTCTGACCCTCTGAGATATTTCCTTTAGACTTAGAATGTCTTCTCCACTTTCCTCAATTCTACTTTACCTCAAGTTTAATTCAAATGTGACCTTCTCCATGAGATCTGTTTTATTTACTTTCATTTGTCCTTCTATTCTCAGTGCCTGCTTGGCATAGAGAAGGCACTCAGTAATGTTGAATATCTAAGTAAAAGAAAGCTTCCCAGTCCAGGTCTACATTAGCATATAAACTTCAGAGAGCAGAGGTTTTGTTTTGCTCTCCTGTGAGTTCTCAGATCAGTGTTCACCATGTGCAGCATTTCACATATTTGTTAAATGAATGAATTCACAGTCGGAAGCAATCTTATAAACTCTAGTTATATTTCCCTGCACTTTGTCATGCTATACATTGTATCATCTAGTTATATTTCTCTGCACTTTGTCATGCTATACATTGTATCATTTTAAAGAGATAAAATATCTCTATATTTTATCATCCTTACTACACAATGAGCTTTTTGATATATGTTTATATATGTTTATAGCCTATATGTTTATGTTTATATTTATATGTTTATGTTTATATGTTTATATATGTTTATTTATGTTTTGATA